GTTTTGGTCCTGGATATGATTTATAATGGAGAAGGAAGCAAGAAAAGCAGATTGAGAAAAATTAAGACCTGTAGAGAATGAAAAGTAAGAAGGTAAACGATTCACCGAATTGCTTTTTTATGTAAGACTTGCATAAAAAACTGCTATGTCAAACCTGGGATACTTTATATTTAAATCTAAAGCATAATTTAAGAAGTTGTTAAAATTACATGAAATTCCAGTACTTAAAATCAGCTTTACATAATTTCTCTGGTGTTTGAATAAGAGAATCTTTATTAAAATTTGTCTTTTGGTGTTTTACCTTGAATATTCTGCATGCCCTAGCCCTACCAATACTATGCATATATCTCATGATTCATTAAATCATCAATTGTTCTGGCAATACTCTTAATTTCTAAAATCCCACATATCAGCGTTAGGGTGACAGGTCTATCTGAATCATTGAGTACATACATTCATTTAAAAGTGAACCCTGTGCTGTAACTGGTTGTTTTTACTGTAATCCTGCTATGGGCAGGTATAGGCAGAGTTTTAAGAGTTTAGTTTAAACTCATCATTGGTGGACAGAGATTGAGAATCCTTTAACATCAAATTTAGGCTTATTAAGTGATTTGTGGCTAATTATATAATTTGTACATATTTCATTGTTGCTTGGCTTGTGCCAGTGAAGAGCTGAATTTAGATTTTTAGCTTTGTTTTGAAATCAGTTTTTATAACAAAGCTGGTAGTCCCATATGGGCAGGCTACTCAATCCAACTTCCCAATGCTGCAAATTCACCTTTCTCCAGACAAAACCATTCAAGATCAAGGGCAGCATCACCTTTGCCACTAATGAGGTTGTTTATTTACCAAATTTCCTTGTGGACTGTGAGAGGAAAACAAGACATGCATAGCAGAGCATATAATCAGCATTAGCAAAACAGAGCTCCAAAAGCTCCAAGTTATACATTTTGTGACCGTATAACACCTTGTAGCACACCTGAAATACCTGCGTGTTAAAAACATGTGTAAGCATTTCAAAGAGGCTGCTGAAGTGAACAGAACGCATTATTATAACCTGATCTAAGTCTGGATTTCAGATATTCCAGATTCTTCTAAATACCAATTTTGATAACATTTGCTACTTTATATTCATCTCATGTCCGATTATTAAAATAAAAAAATACCAAAACTTTGACAGCAAAGACGACCAGGTGACTGATAACAGAAACGTCCTCATTTGACCATGCTTGTGCTGGGCTGCTACTGTAAAGTCTCACTGCACATGAAACAAAATGGCCAGAAACACATGACACATGACAAAGAATCTCAGCTCTGAAGTAACTTCATCATAACTGCAAACAATGTTATAAATGCAAGTAATATTATGTGGAATGCCAGTAAGCAGCATTTTCAACTATAATAGAGGCCTAGTAATCAGCACTAGGATTTCTGGGAGTTTTCAAGGCAACATGAGCTGCAATTAGGCCAAATAATCTGCGCCCAAACAGCAGCTGCATCTGTAAAAAATGTTTTTTGGATTTGTGAAAAGGAATGGTCAAAAGTCATGATGCCATGTGCAAAACACTGACACAGAGCTTTAACAAGGTGGACTGGGTACGAAGTGAAAGTAACAAATGGGAATATGACAGATATACAGCATGCCGATTTTGAGCTTGCAAATACTGCTAATAGACCTTTTTCACAGCAGCCATTTTGACATGGAATAGTAGGGTAAACAAAGGTGTTACTAATGATACTAATAACTAATGTTCCATGTATTGTAGCAGAGCCTTTCCAGTGAGCCAACACTTACAATAGCAGCACCCTGACTCTGTTTGATCTGAATGGTAGTATCACTGGTAACGCCTGTGTTTACCCTACTATTTCATGTCATGAAAAAGGTCTGTTGGCTATTAATAATGCTAATTTAGCCATTCAAAGTTAAAAATCCTTTCAGCTACAACATACTTGGGTGTTTATAGTTGCCTTTATGAATAATGTTCTATGTCTTAAATTATTTTCCCCTTTTATCGACTGTATTGTATTAAAAACTCAAAACCATCACATATTTTAGTGTTTTTCTTCTCATTTCCATCACAGATCTATCCACGTGGTCCACGTTGGTACAACATAGATTAGTTTAAACTGATGAAGAGCCTCTGGGCATTGATGGTTTGCAATAATAATGATGTATGTGTGGCACAGTTCTCTATTTATATATACAGAATTCCATTTCTACTTAAATCCATCAATGATTTGCAGACCTGCTCATCAGTGCACATGTACACTGCTTTATTTGCTGATTTAGATTGGTTCCAATCTCTGCGTAAATGTGTGAGGCTTTACTGTATGTTTGCTTATCTGTCCAGCCATCCCATCTATTCAAACAGCGTTCCTTTCATTTAAGGCTGTGTGCTGGCTGGGCTTTTTTTTATTTTTTTTTTCCTGGGACCTTTTCTGTTATTTTGGGACCAGATGGCGAGGGGCACGGAAGCGCCTCTTTTGTCCGGGCGCCCCTGTGAAAGGAGGCTGTCCTCCCTAATGTAATCAGCAGCACCGGAAGGGTCCATTTTGGGCTGTGAAAGAAGACAATCGGGTCTGGACACGTCTAGATTACAGAAACGCAGAGTTCATCTCCCGACCCTGCCCCCTTTGACCAAGGCCCTGGCATGGAGGATCCTCATCTTTGATCAGTGGAGGGTGGAGGTGCTGATCCGACCTCAGGAGGGCCAAAGGCCAGCCCCCCCCACCCTGTTTACCCTGCACTTGGCTGCTGCTGACACCTCCTTCCGGAAAGAGCCAGGGGGTGGTGGGTTGGTTTGGGCATGGGGGGGATACCATGACCTGTCTAGACACCGTTGCTTGTTGCCCTGGTGTTGCCAAGGGGACATAATGAACTTTGACCTCAAATGTAGTTGGTTAGGAGCCACTCTGGTCATCTAAGAAAGATTTTTTTTTTCTTCTTCTTTTTGATTATCAGAGTTGGGGGTGGGGAAATGAGGCAGGGGTATGGATGTGACCCACATACACACAATCTGCTTTGAGGGACCACAAGCATGAATTTGTTGGCAAAACTTCCTTTTTTTAATTTTAATAATTTCCCTTACAGGACATCAGGACAAGTGTGCAAGACAGAACAAAATTGCTGACCTCTGAAATGACAACGTTGCTCTCCTGAGAATTTTATGTTTGTTTGCTTGACACTCTTGGAAGCTGGACTGATTTTGTTTTTTTAATCTGTTACTCTAATACCAAGAAGGTCGTGCTGTTTTTAGTTCATGATTGTTTTTTGCGTTTGATAGATTTTTGGTCATTTTATTTCTCATGCACAGTAAGTAATCTTTGAATTTGATATCTGTTTTGTCTTCTTAAATATGATATTCAACAGGCAGCTGTAGCTTAAACAAAGAAAAATATTCTTACATATTCTTACTCATAGACTCAGACTCAGTATTTTGTAGTACTTGTCTTCTTGAGCTGTTTTTATGTTGTGGATTGTTGAACTAAAGACAGTTCTCTACTTTGGGCAGACATACAGTAATTTTGCTTATTGATTTTATATTGATTTTATAGTTCAGTAAATGAATGTGATGTGCAGCACATGTGCAGCACTTTTCTGAGTTTACTTTTCTCTTAATTTGTATTTATAGTTACATGTTTAAATGAGAAATATTTGAAATTATTATAATATTAATTATGTAACATTAACACTGACATACAGTATTGCTATATACCGAGTATTTTTTAATTAAAACATGCAAATGTCAAACATATTGTTTGCAAATAATTAGGATACATTTTCTCTTATTGTTTCAGATAGTCAGAATAATGTAATTAGTGTGTTATTCTCTGATGAAAATCCTCCTCCGTGCATGCAGTGAGTTGTTTGTATCCGCTTATTTATTACGTGACATACTTCGTCCTGTACCTAGAGTCCCTGGTTTTGGCCTGAACCACAACATAGCTCAATGTGCGAATTGGCTTTGATGTTGAGGCTGTTCTTCAGGAGTGGGTGTAGCGATTCCACCATCATGGCCGCCACTACCAACCCCGCCCTCTCGCCTGCCACTCAGGAACAGTTAAAATGGCAGCATGCACCAAAATGAGTGAGAGGGAGAAAGAGAGAGACGCCCACTACTGTGAGCTAAGGCACGGTCGAGTGAGCTGTAGCTCGCCTTGTACGCCAACTAAAACTGAGATGATTATTTTTTGGTGCATTTGGCCGTCTGAGTACAATGTACAATCTAGAGAAGTCTAGACAGGTAGATGGTGCTGAAATCAGTGAAGGGTTAACTTCTTTTGTCACCGCTCTATCCAAAAGTAGTTTGCAATAGTGCTCAGCCACAATTTCTCCGAATGTAGAACTACGTGTAGCAGTAGAGTAATCTTTTAAATGATTGAGTTTGAAAAAAACCATCCAAACATAATTGGTGAAACCATGGCGACACTATTTTCGTAGTACAAACGCAGCTAAATGGAAAATATTTAAGCTAATTGTCATTTTTTGGATTCAGTGTGACCCTTCCTATTTGGATTTGGTGGGCTGCCATTTTATTCTCCAAATTATCGATTGCAGCCTGGCACAATGGAAACGGCCACCAAATGTTCTGCTCTGTAGCATCTGAGATGTAAAAACAAGCTACTGTATTCATATACTGTATATGTGTTGTAGTTGTAATAGTTCTTAGTTTGGCTTGTCAGCATTGGCCACAGCATCATTTGTATTCCAAAGTGGTGCTGTACAGCATTTCAGTCACTGTATTCATTTTTAATGTAGAAAGAACAAAGTACTGTGATCAGTGATCATTGAAGCCCTTTGCTCTTAGTCAAACGGCTCTATGCATGTGCTTATTATGTCATCCAACTAATACCAATTAAAGGCTATACGCTACGCCAACCCAACACTGTTAGAGCTAGAGACCCATTTAGAATGGATCACAGGGCGTAGATGTGTGTATGCAGTCTCAATAAACCGTCTGAAATTAAGCATTACAACCAATGATTTCAAACCTTTGCAGGTCTTCCTTCCACTTCATAACAACTCTATTGCAAGGCATTCCACATCCAAATGGCAGTGTGGAGAATTTTAAGGTAAATGTCCAAATCTTCTATTTTTAGGTCTTCCTACTCACACTGAATGACATTTTATTATTGGCTCTTGGTGTGAATATGTTTTTTTTCCCCTCTTCCCTCCACAGTGTAGAGAGCTGGTGGTGGACTAGGAGGAAGATGTCATGCTAAGGATGGGTTTTGGTGATGATGTTGCTGCTGTTGATGCAGCATCGAGCTCTCACTTTGTGCCTCTGTCAGCTATGATGCGTAACCACAAAGTGAGTGACAGGCCAGTCCCCGGGGAGAGCAGGGGGCCTGAGGTGAGTCAGATGTATCCTTGACCCTGTCTAGCTGTGTCAGCAAGCAACACAAACTCAGTAACAAAGGCAAAAAATGGGATGACTGTACATTGTACATCTTAATTTAGTATGTAGAAGAAGAATGTAAGAGACAGTAAGAAACACAACCACCTTGACTGTTTCTGTTCAAAAGATCTGGTTTTTATTGCTCCCAGACTTTAAACTATTAAACTCCCCCGACTTATAAATTATGAAAGTATAATGCAGCATATCACATTCAACTGATACCTTTGGACCTCTTGCATGCATTAGTATTTCCACCAGAGTGCTGATTGTTTTACTCTCGGTTCTGATATTGTTAAAAACCCGTCTGAAACATGAAGTTGGTACTGATTTGGGTAGATTCAACATTGTTTACTTCAGTGCATTACAGATACAGTATTAAACACCCAATGTCAGGTTAAGACTTTGATAAAAGATGTCAGAGAAAGATATTATTTGAAAGATATTATTTATTTGCAGTTTTTTAAAGCTTGTTTATTCTGAAAGTTTTGTTTTGTTGCACACCTATTTAGCTCATATTTTAAGTTGGAGTGCTTTCAGGGAGTGGGAAAGTAGACGTCTGTAAAATTTTAAGTACTCAGTTTATTACTTAGAAACTTGAAGATGAAATTTGAGAATAACTTTGTTAGGATATATACTGTACATGATACAACAGCCAAAGAATCCTTAGTGTTCAAAGGCAAGTCAGCTACTAGTCTAGGTGTTACAATACTTGAAGGTGATCCAACTTTAAAGATAATTTAAAACACTATGTTACTCACACCTGGCTGTTGCTAGTTAAAATAAATTGATAATGCTGAATAACTTTTTTTCCCCAATCTAAATGATGAAGAACTTTATGGAAAAAACTGTATTGCAGTATAATATCAGTTGTAGTCACACATTACAATTAAGTTTGATGCATTTTACACAAACTATAGTCGTATTAGTGGTATTATCATTATATTTAGTGCTGAAACAATTGCTTAATTAATCAGTTAGTCTGTCAACAGAAAATAAACCTACAACAATTTTGATAATTAAGAAGTTAAAGTCATTTATCGCGCAAAAATGCTGAACTTTTATTGGTTCCAGCTTCTAAACTGTGAGGATTTTGCTCTTCTCTGTTTTATCTCATCATAAATTTGGACAAAACAAGCAATTTGAAGAGGTCACCTCATGCTCTGAAAAATTGTGATGAGCTTTGTTTTTCTATTTTTAATTAATTGAATAATAAAAAACATAAGCATCAAACTTATCGCTAATGAAAATAACAGTTTCAGCCCTTGTTATATTAAACGAAAACATAAAGTTAAAAATAGACCAAATTGGCATTATTTTTGGTTAAAATGATTAGGAATTGTTTTGTTCAGGCATGAATATCTGCTTCTATCTGCTAAAACCATAACATCAGTATATTATGTTGAAGGTTAGTGTTGGTTTTCAGTTTCAGAAGTGCTTGTTGTGATCTGTTGTCTTAGAATTCAGTACAGCAAGACATTTTACCAAAGCCGCTGCCAATCTTTCTATCAAATGCAAAAAAAATCCTGATTGAACTGAAACAATTGATGCAACCTGCGTCGTGTGAAATAATTTTTTAAGAACAAGTTCTAACTCTTGAACGTTAACTCTTTCTGAACCAATATTTCCTTTAGTGTTCCCTCATTACTGGATCCCCTTTCTGTCCAAAAGGAAAGAGGATCCTTTTGTGACACATCCATGATTCAGTCATTGATGCACTGCAGACTAGAAGAACTGCTGGTCAAACCACATTATAAACATCTTTTGTGAAATTAAAGGCAAGATTGTATTATGTTTTTAATTCATTCCCCTAAGCAATCACCCACTCAAGAAACCAGATATGGTGGCTACGTGGGAAAAACGTACATGACTTTCTGAATTTCGTCAAGTGAACAAAAAGACTCTTTATTGAAAAGTCTTGCATCTTTTTTTTTTTTTTTTTTTTTTTTTTTTCAAGGGTCGCTCAAACACGGTGTGTGAAATGAGAGTTGCCTGGGTGTGACTTTTCCAGAAAGCATCCGCTTGCTATTGTCTGCCTAGTCAACTTCTGCAGGCCCCAGCGCCCTGACTTCTATACATGAGAGATCAAGGGTTACCAAGGTGCTTTTGAGAAAGGAGGGCTCAATGTGAGAGGGGACAAACCAGTCCACAAAATACTCATTTCCTTTGCATGTTAGGTGCCCTAGTGGGGATTCAGACGGGGTCACTGACACAACCACTGGGGTTGAGGGTTTTTTTTTTCTCTCTCGTTGTTCTTAATGAAAACTGTTGCTTGCCTTTTCAGTGGCTTGCATCTGCTATCAGCTGCCTATACAGTATGCGGCTTGATAATATGCTGAGTTTGCCCAAAAGAAAGTTTGTTCAGACTCTGACTGTTTATCCGGTGCCAGACAGAGGCACCTCATGTAGAAAAGGTAAAAGTAATTCTGTCCACCTCTCATTCTTGCCAAAAAGTTCAGTCACTGAGCCACGGCATTAACTTGTATTCTAACAAGATTAAAATATATTCGTCCTGGGGATTAGCATAGTTAGGTGTCCTTTTGCCTCTTTTTTTTTCCAGCACTGGTGCGGTGACAGTGGGCTTTGATCTGTGTTGCGAAGCAAGAGTCCTGGCTTGGACCTAGCCATTCGAGTGCCAAGTGTGAAATTGGCCTGATGTCATCCCCATTCTTCACCTTTTACATCTTTCACCACTTTAATTATGTTTCCGCCACAAAGCCCAGGCACCTCTGAGCAGATTCCACTCTGGCCGTAGGAAGCATTTAGAAACTGTGGGTAAATGACACAGTAGGGGAGGGGGAGGATGGTAGGGCGAGGTCATAGCAGGATGGGGCCCTTTTGTGTTTAGAGGTAGACATTGATACTTTCCTGATGTATCCTGTGCTCACTTCCATTTTTTTTTTTTTTTTTTTTTTTTTTTTTTGTACAGCACGAGAACTTTCTGAAATTGTCAGCAATACTCCAGAAAATAACTTTTACTCCAGGCATTTCTTTTTTTCTTTTTTACAATTTCTGCATCCTATTCTAGAAGATATGTGTATTTCTCAGGCTTATCTGCCCAGATTATTGATGATTTATGTCATGTCATATATTATGTTTTTCACAGCAATCCAATGCTTTTCTGTTGCGCGAAGGAGTAAGAGGCCCAAACAAAGACCACTTCTGATCACTTGACCACCTGAATCTCACTTCTAGAGATGAGACAAATTATTCTCAGATAGAAGCTTTTGTTCCAGGAGAATGTGCCCATGCAGCCTTACAGCTCCAGCTATTGTTCATGCATTGGTGTCCCTATCTGAACTTCAGGGAGCTTCCCTGCCTGTGAATATTTTGATGAAGGTTCCTATTGATGCGCTGAATGAAGGACCAAAACAACAGGGGTATGTGTGCATGTGAGGAGGAACAAGAAATGAATGAAGTGTGTGAGGATGTGTGCGTGCCGGGCAAGAATAAAATAAAAGTGATAGTAAGATGTGTGTATGTGTGTGTGTGTGTGTGTGTGTGTGTGTGTGAGGGGAGAGAGAGAGAGAGAGAGAGAGAGAAGGAGTTAGTGAGTGAGAAAGCTGTGTGTGGAGAATGGGTTACTGAGGGGTGGGAGGGGGGAAACCAGCCACCTGCAGCCATGACAGGCTTTGACCTTCATTGCTCTCTCTCTCTCTCTCTCTCTCTCTCTCTCTCTCTCTCTCTCTCTCTCTCTAGTGTGTCTCTCTCTAGTGTGTCTCTCTTTCTCTCACCCCCTCCCTCCCTCTCTCTCTCTCTCTCTCTCTCTCTCTCTCTCTCTCTCTCTCTCTCTCTCTCTCCCACTCCCATTCCTGCCTTGTGATAGAAGCACAGGCTCCTTTCAGAAGCGGCGAGGAAGACTGACCGTCGTGGAGACAGTGCTGGGAGCAGCCCTATCTGCTCTAATGCTAGTCACCGGCCGTTAGACATGGCGTTCAAAGACTAGCGGTGCAAGTATGGAAATGCAGATAAGGCATTGTTGAGGAAACATGCCTGGGAATTGTTCAAGGCTTTCCCTTGCATAATATTTGGATGCTTTCGCGAATGTTTTAATCTCAAACCCCATGAATTTGATCCTCCATGAATGTGATCCTGAACCGCCCATAGAACAAGTGGGCGTTTGCATGGAAAGGATTGTCATGCTATGCACATTAATAATGTTTGTGATTACATTTGTGAATATTTGACATCTGGCAAACATTTATTTAAAACTATCATTGTACACATTGCTCTTTTCTAGACAATTTTAACTAGGAATGCATTTTTTTTTTTCCTACATTTTGATGCCAGCAGAAGCTCAGCATTGATGGAAGGTCGTGTTTACTGGTTCAGCCAGAACTCAGTTATGCTCTTCTGTATTTGTATGGAAATATATTAAATGTTTGCTTCTCATAAAGATGCTAGAAACTGTTTTGTGTATAATCTTCAAGGTTTATTTACTCTTCTTTTGCAGTTTTTCAGGAGGCAGTTAATTACACAATTAATACATGATACAAATTATGTACATTTATACCAAAGAATACTTCCAACATAAAATAAAAAATAGCATTGTATTCTACAACTCTGTGTTGTAATTTTATTTAAACATGTTCATATATAGATAGATATACGCTGATGAGTAAATTCATAATGTCGTACCAGCAGTTTTCATAAAGGCATTAAACTTGAATAGTCTGCATTTGAAGTAATACTGCTTCTCTGATTCGGCACAGTTCTGTTTCATAAAAAGTTCACACTTGAACTTTAAGGCAAAGTGTGTTTCTGTTTGGTGGATTTTAATTCACACACACTTTTTGCAGATACACAACAAAAACACTTTGAAAGGCAAAAAGTCCACAATTTGGTATGGATACAGTCTAAAACTTAGCTCGATCATACTTTCCGTCGATAAAGACCAAAGTTTATAAACACAGTTATTTGCCCAAGTACAACAAATTGCAGCTTTCATGCAAAGGCCCCATAAACTATTTTTCATTCACAAAAAAACAAAAAAGAAAACAAAAAGAAGTTATTGCAAGATAAACAAGCAGTGTAAACACCTCAGATATCTACTCTAAAGCAACACTGGTCATTGGATAGATTTTTTTTCTCAATATAATCTATATAAATACACATATGAAGTCCTTTCAACAACGATAAGAGATTTCCAACATTTGTAATACAGTCACTGACGGATTTGCCTTCTTTTTATGATATATGGATATGTAATAAAACTGTATATAGAGAAAGATTTAACAAGAACATCCAATAACCTGCTTGTATAGTCTATACTCGAGAGTGCGCAAGATGGTTGTCATCATTGTCTTTATGCTACAGAGTTGTTTCTGTGACTTTATAGGCAGCATTATAGCCTTCATTTAGCTACAAAAAAATGATTGATCATATTGCTATTTAAAACTATAATAGCTGCACTGATGCATTGGTATAACGAAGGGAATACGCACATAATACTTGTGTAAAGGCTATGAGACGACCACACACATGTAAGCAAGGCCTAACTTAGCATTTTAGTTAAGTGGCGTGTTAGAAAAAATTCGCTACCTCTCAGTCACTTAGGATAATAAACTGTTCCTGTTGATTTCATTTTATTTTATTTTAAAAAAACGTATCAAAATTCATAGTCTGCCCAATTAGGTCTGCAACTGACACTCAGAAAACACCTTCCTCTGTCCATTTTTACATCAAACACAACCAAGGAAACCAACAAAGCATGGAAATAAAATCGTGTTAGCATTTATTTAAATTCACAGTAGCCTGGATGCAGCAGAAAAATATTCTTTGGACTTCAGTTTTGTTCACCTCACTGACAGATGGAAACGTCAAGTGCCAGTTAGTTTTTAAATGTAAAATGATGACAATCATGGGTAGCAGTAGGCCTATATAAAAATGAGGGTTGTAAGCATTTGTTCCTCCTGTAGGGGCGGGGTGGGGGGGGGGGGGGGGTCGACAAACAATGAAAACATACCTTTATACAACATCTTTTATAGACGTGATATTGCAGAAATATCTCTCTCTGTTTTTTTTTTTTTTAAAACAATTTATGCTGGTATACTCTACACACTGGCCCTTTTATTCGATGAAATTATTGCATTGTAGGCTTGACAAAACCTCCCATATAACGAAAAATCACTATAATATTCCTATAGGAACATATAGAGACTTATGGTGGTGTTATTAAATATTCCTGTAGGGACTCTTAGCAGTCCAGTGACCTTATTGTTCCTTTGTACTTTTATTTTTATTTTTTTTTAATTTCCTGTGGTGTCCTGGACCCATCTGTTGTGACAGTAATAGAACTTTATGGTATTTTTTATCTGCTGTGGTATCATTAAATATTCCTGTAGGTAGAGTTTTGCGGTGATATCTCAATAAAAATCTATCATAGGATTACTATAGGTTCTTTTTCGTCAGGAGGCTGCTGTGACTTCTCTGGAAATCAATCGCTGTCTGATTTTTCGTCTTTCGACGTGACGGTGGCGTGATTGTACAGTCCCTGTGCCATCAGGTGCAAGGCCAGACTGTTTTTAGCGCCGGTGGCCTTCTTGATTTTGGCCCTCTTGTTCTGGAACCAGATCTTGATCTGGGACTCGTTGAGACCCAGCTCCTGCGCCAGGTTCTGCCGCCTCTGCTCGGTCAGATAGCGATTTGTCTGAAACTCCGATTTTAGTCTTTGCAGCTGTTCTGCTGTGAAGGCCGTCCGTGGTCGCTTGTCCTCTTTGCTGGTCGTTTTCTTCTTTGGTTTGCGAGATCTTGGCCCTGTATTGTGGGGGATATGGGGTAGGGGGAGGGGGGATCACAGAGACACAAACATTGGTTTGTCAGTGTCAAAATATGTTCATGAAAATCAAAAAAACAGCTCTATACACAACTTTATAGATGAACAAAATATTAATTATAGTGTTTTCTCATTAAAATGCCCAGCTCACGTATAACTAGTATACTATTGCACCACTTTACATTTAAGATAGAGCCTACAAGTGTGCCTAAAACATGTGCGTAAAGTCTATTATAGAAGAAAATGTCGATTTTTAACTTATTTTAATCTCCAAAATCGAGAAGTAAACAAATGCCTGCTCGGACATCTGTTGTTATTTGGTTACTGTGTGTTTTTTAAAAGCTTTTTCTAAAAAAAAAAATAAAATAAAAAAACCCACCAAAATAAGTTTTGTAGATTTCCCAAAACATTTTGTCAAACTAGTACAAAAAATAGAAAAAAAGAGGAGGATTGATTGTAAAATACTGACACGTCCACTGAAGAAAACACCAAAGAAGCAAAAAAAACTCCCCTCCCTCCCTGTTTCTATCCCTCTCCCTCGCTTACACACACACACACACACACACACACACGTAGACCTACACACACTCTCTCTCACACACACACACACACGCATCATACACACGCTGACACTGGCTGTTGCAATAAGGAATTATTAACCAATAGGACAACACTGGGGGGGAAAAAACATCAGCCGACACATCTCAGCCACTGTTTTGCAGGTGAGCTGAACACAGGATTCATTTCACTGCCGCTACTTTTGCATTTTCTTTTTGTTTTTGTGGGCCACTTAAAAGCTCCTCAATGAGCAAACGTGAAGAGAATCTGAGCCGCACACATTGGGTACACATTCATTTTCCATCTGGATAGAGGCCTATCTGGTAAAGCTTTGGGGGAGAGCGTTCCCTCCAAACAGTGTGGGAAACATTAATGAAACGACATAACCACCGTAATACTGATGAATCAGCTCGTGTGTGTGTGTGTGTGTGTGTGTGTGTGTGTGTGTGTGTGTGTGTGTGTGTGTGTGTGTGTGTGTGTGTATATAAAAACTGTGCAGCTCTACAACTCGTAGTAGTCGCCTACGCCACTCCATACAGCGTTACATAATGCATGAGAACAAGTTGTACTCCACTTTTGATAGACACTAAGAAAAATACACTACATATTAACCTTAGTGCGGGCTGAGAAGGTGTAGCAGGTGTTTTCATATAAATAAAGATTTTTTAAAAATAAAACAGTCACTACTGGCCAGCATATACATAGGCTATGGGAGCGTCCATTGTGAAAACAGATGCATATTTAATCCATCCCAAACACAGCTTGCCTAATGCATCTAAAACAGCCACAACAAGAGCACCAAATATTATTTGACAGACCTGCAGATGGTCTGGAAAGACGTGCAGACCTGCCAGCGCGCCTATGTTTAGTATATGTAGGACCCCTGCATTATCATATTCATAACCCGAGGAAATGTGCAAGAAGACTGCCTGAATAGGATCATTTTAGTGAATAAAAAAAATCCGTGCGTAATAGCGTAAAAAAATCTGCTGTTTTTTTAAATGTTTTGCTGTATTTTAGTGAGAAGTTTAAATGAGAAGATTTCAGGAAAGTTTGAAGGTTTAAAATAAATCTATTTTCTTGCTTGCTTGCATTTTAAAATAGGCCTCGAAAAGCCATTTTTATATTTCATTATTATGTAGTATTTTTTCCTACATTCTACAAAGACATGCTGTTCGTGTAGTCTAGCAGAGGATTTGTGTTTTGCATTAAATAATATTTCTAAACATTTCCATGGGTTTATATTCGTAAATTCTCTGTTTGCGCTGCACAGCACGCTTCGCTCTGCTCTACTCGGGAGAAGTCGGTCAAGGCATCCGGGGTCAGTGTTACGGGGTATTTCAGGTTACCGAGAATACGGGATAGAGATAAAAAACGCACGCACGGTTCCACCAACCTGATGAAGGCCTGTCCGAGTATCTGGTGCAGTAGACCCAGGCTGGCCACAGCATGGGCTGGGACTGGGATGGGGTTGAGCTGGCTTGGGAACTGTCTGAGTCTGAGCTTAGGCACTGGTCTGCGTTCACCCCGCGGGGTTTCAGGGGCTCTTCGGCGGCTATAGCGGGTTTCTTGGTCCCGGTAACCGTGTGCGGAGTGGAGGTCCCCTCCGCCGGCACCGTGCTCCCCACCGGCTCGGTCTGAGGTGCGGCGGGGCTGTTGTGGCTCTCCCGCGATGCCAGGCTACTCTCTTCGCGGTTTGCGCCCCCGTCCTTTTTCCGTCCGAAATCCGGCCGCAGGATGTTGTCGATGAAGAAATTGGTGACCCGGTGAGGGATCTGCAGGTTCCCCGGCGCCTGTAAGAGGGGAAGGATGGCTCTGTTTGATTCATCCGCCGACTCCTGCCGCTCCACCACGTCTCTGTTGCCGTGATCATTTTCTTCCATACTGATTCACTTTCCCCGCTTTTACTCTCTTTAACCCCTTTGTCGCTCTCTCTGCTGCAATGAAATTTGCAAAGAACTTCGGGGGGATTAAATTGCAAAAAACTGCACGCGTAAAATAAATAAAAAAAATAAAACTCAAATTCTAGTGAGTGCCTTGGACACCATGCAAAGCCTTGCGGTAGTGTCCTCTGAGAAAAGCATACTTTTTGACATATATTCCCTCAATCTCGGGTTACAACTGATACCGTAGAGCTAAAACATGTGCCATTTGCGCACCGTCCAATTTATTGTTATCCGATTTCAGTGTGCCCAGTAATGCCTACGCCTAAACTAAACTAAGGGTAAATAAAGAGGCTCCTAAACTGATGCTCTAATACTCTCACTCTGGAGTTTTGTTCTTATTTTCAATACGAGCCCCCCGAGTGACGTTTTCCCACCGTCCTCCCAGACACGTGCCTTAGACCAATAGGATGCCAGAAACCGGGCCACGTGACGCAGACTCCAGAGCAGTCCACAAACGCCCATCTTCGCCTTGGTAAAGGGAAAGAGTCCTGGATTGACGGAGGAGAAGCCTAATTTAAATCCAGTGCATGCTCCCAGATACTCCCCATAATTCATCTGTGTTTATGAACCTGCAACTTACATTTTTTGGGGGGAGTTTTAGTTTCCAAAGAGAAACACAATTCACACCGCTTTGTTTGTGTTTATTAAAACAATGAGAGATTAAAAGCATCGCTTGTCAAAGTGGGTTGTGGGGACCCCCGGGGTTCCTTGCTTGCAGGGCAGGGAGGGATCCCCAATAAAATGAGAGAATAGTGCATTTTTACTATCTTTGGGTGCATTATAACATACATTCGGTGTAAATAAGTTTAATTCTCGACACTTTTAAATACCTTCAGTTCAATACAGTTTCATTTTAAAACAACTGAAAATCTGCTCATGTGGAGGCAAATGAGACACAGTCCTATCCAAATAGGGTAAAATGGCCTATTGTAAGTGCATTTGGGGGCCCGAGACATGAGAATGTTTGAGGCAACATGTGTTGAAATACTATCTGAAAATACACCTTTAGACAAGACTGAACACACTATTGTCTGTTAGAAATATCCCACAATACATCTAAATGAAAGATTATTATAACACCTGTAAGGACAATTGCACTCAGAGTAACTTTAGTCAGTTTGTCCTGGCCAAGGTTAAATGCGGAAAACAGAACTGCTGCATGGCTGTGTGCTCGCATTTTGAACTGGATGGAACTGGGCTATTTTCTTGAAATTTTGAATTTAATTTCAAAACATTTATCTCCTTTTTGTAACATAGTAACAACCCCTTCTTGGTTCTTATCATGGGATTTAACCACTCTGATTCGCAGGATGGTCTAATGTGACATGTTGCTTCCAGTCGCCTCATAATTGGCACCAAAATGCATCTAAAAGTGAAATGTGACATGTTTCCCCGTCTGATTTCAAACGCGCATGGATGTGTGTTAAGTATTTTTGATGTTCTCATGTTCGCCTGTCGTGACGCTGCGGTCGACCAAGAACTGGGTCCATATCCCTTTAAAAGAAATCAGTGATGCAAACAAACTGTTTTGTGCACAGTGCTCAGGGTACCGAGTCGCGCCAAAGACAAAACTTTGAGTAACTTTGCTGACCAGCACTAAGTTTGAGTTTCTCCTCCCAGGACGCCACAGGGCTCAGCCGGTTCTCCGCTGGCGTTTGAGCCGGGACTGCGCGTAAAATAAGAAAGGGGGCATCGAGGAGGACCAGAGGAGCAGCAAGACTGAGACTGAGTGAGGAACCTTTGAACAATTCAGTTACAAAGTCAGTCGACTGGCTTCTTTTTATATTATTACAAACATGCATTGTCTGTTCCTGTAGTTTTTTGGGAGTAACTTGGATCCAAATTTCTAAAATGAGGACACATAACCTATTTTGTCTTATTCTGTGATTATGTGTGCATCACAGGCCAGTCAGCCGTTATAATATGCATAGATAATCCACATCTATTTGAGTTTTGGTGACTTTTGACATAGACTTGTGTGCCTTTTGGATGCAACAATAACCTGCTGCCCAGAACAGTTGTTTTAATTTGTAGTTGTGGCACGTTACTGTAATTTAAGCCCGAGTCTATGCCAGGTATTGTCCTGCAGGGAAAAAAAACACCCCCTTCCTTGACTTTTCACTTGTTAAATGCAGGCTTTGTGCAAATTCCAAAGCAGCCATAGTGAATTCTTATTACATAAAATATTAGTGTGGGTTTAATCTGGAGTTTGCGTTCACATGCGCATTAGCAGCTCATATGCACACACATTAACACAACGTCAGAAGCTTCAAGCTGATATCTGAATGGTATTTTTTAACTAAAAGTAACATCTTTCTTTATGATACTGATGCATTTTTAAAAAAAAATCTTTTCCCAAAATCTACCTGAACTATCTCACATGTCCCCAATCACATAGGGCCCATCCGAGCCCTGCACGTCGGCCTGCTGAAGTGAAAGTTGGGAGTGAAAGATGTAATTAGACAGGCCACTCTCATGCTGCGATTGTTTCTCACTTGTGAGGGGAAGCGCAGATTAATGTTGAGCGCTAAATAAGCAGCAGACAATGGAGGCACAGACAGGCCGCTACCGCCTGGGCTTGGCCTCTAACCTCGCAGCAAAACAGGGATGTCTGGAGGAAATGACACCATTTCAGGCTCTGAATTATAATAAGAGCCTGTGTGCACTGCAAAAAACAAACATTTTAACACGCCAAACAGTGTGATATTAAACCCTGGAATGTTAATTCTCTGTCAAAAGTGACATATCCGGCATTTGCTCCACTTGTTTTCATTTTGAAGCGGCGTTTTTATAACAAATATGAGACTGGATTGATGGTTTAGCAAATCGGGAATAGGGATTTCTACGTGCAGGACGTACCCCCGAAATAAGGTGAAGCACCAGTGTGCAGAAGTCATTTAACTCTACTGCAGTTATTAGCAGGAAAACAAGCTTTTAATACTCAAACCTTGACTATATGTGTATTTTTTTGCAGTGTATACTCTACAAGCACGTAATCCCACTATTGTGGGGTTTTGATTGTTCAGTTTTGACTGGCTTGTTTTGATCAGTGGTGGTTAAAAAGAAAGACAAAATGTGTCCTATTTTAGTCGGGGTATGATCACCATCGTCGCTGTTTATTTTTGCTTCCAGGAGATTTCTGTAGTTTGACATGTAAACCGGACTTTCTGCTTTACTTTAAGTGCTTGTGCATGAAAATACATTGTAGGACAGTTTGTCCTGGTTGGTTAAGGGTTAAAATAGTGCTGTAGCATTCAGTTGATTTGCATATTATGATATTGTTGTTTTCTGATTTTATTTTTTTCCAAGTAAAGTCAGTTTTTTTTGGTGCCATGCATGCTTTGTTTTATTGTCTTGCTCTTAATCTGTTAAATTGCTTTAGAGAGTGAAGCCCCTCCATATTCAGTCTTTAGGATGTTTGTTGTTTATTTAAATATTGATTAACACAAGGGGGGAAAGGCAGTTATTAAATGAAGCCTTTATGTTGGTAGCTCACCCCTTGATAATAACAACATGTTTTTTTTATCTGTATATCTGGGCCTGAGCTGTCCAGATGCGGTTAAAATGGATATATGAATCCACAATAATATTTCGTTTTTCTAGCTTGTAACATGGCCCAAACCTCTCCAAATCAGTCTGTAATAGTGGCGTTATAACGTGCATGCATATGCCTATCAAGCAGGCCTCAACCGCTTGTATAATAGGCGTGTGTAGTTTTTATTTAAGGTGACTTTAAAACCCCTGTGCATGTGCTGTGTGTATAGAATATTGCCCAGTGTTGCAGTTAGAAGCAGATATATTCCTGAAAAGGCAATTGTTATCAACCAGTTTCGGATGAATTTCCGCCTCGAATGTGTGCAGAAACTCGAAGCCTGGTCTGCCATCCTTTCACATGTTGCACACAAATGCACAGTTTTTCTTATAATTAAGCGTTATTTGTTCTCATTTGCTCTATTTCAACCTGTCAAGTAACGTGCAAATAGCCGCCAGCAGGGCCCTACGTCAAATCACCAATCGATGGTTTTGCCTATATGAAGTTTTTGAAAATTCTAGTTAGAGCTATTGGTAATTTGCCCACATACGATCCCCTTATCATTAACGTGGCCTGTTTGTTTTTTTTTTTTGTTTGTTTTTTTTTTACTATTTTAAAAGTGTAAAACATGAGTGCTGCCTTATGGTTAAAGCATAGGTTGGATAAAATCATAATTTTCCATGAATATATTCTGTTCTTGTTCAGGGAAGTAGGAAATATTGATTACCGCACATGTTATGTCTGTCAGGTTCTACTAAATAAATGAATGCTTCAGTTTTCTCCTCTCTTTTCTCTTGTTTGTTTCAGAAAGCAGTGGAGAATCTCTTTTTGCTTTGCATGGAAGGGTTAATACCCCCTGTTTCTTTGTAAAAAAAAAAACAAACAAACAAAAAAAAACAAGTCTGGTAGAGCACAGTTTGAACGTCTGATTGTGTTTCTATGCAGCCTATAAATCCAGCTCCTAGGTCTATTTCATATTCACTTATAGCTCTGCACCCCCTCCTCCTCCTTCCATCCTCCTCACGCACACACAAGCATATATGCACACCCCTCCTACTACTACTACTACAATAAATCGAATGCATTGTGCGCATGTGCCCTGTCCTTGAGTTCCTATAACCTATTTTTTTTTTTTTCCCTCTGTATTTTCCTTGGTAGGATTGTCTTACACGTCACCAGCGCTCAGTACTATGGAGTACTACAAAAGGTGACGCGCAGAAGGAGGATTTGTGAATGGACGCCGTGATGTGTGCCAGCTCACAGATCAGAGGGCGGTGGGGACCTCTGCAGATGCACCCTGAGCCCCCCCACCACCCCCCACCCCCCAAAAAAACCTCCACCCCGCCACGTACCCCCAGCACCCCTCCCTCTCCCGGTCACTACCCCTCCCTGCAGATGAATGGGG